TCCCTACAAAGGACTATTAAAAACTACTGTTGCTGAGAAGGATTCTCATGTTCCTTGAATCATTTTGGCTAGTGCAGCACTGTCTATCAGGCCTGTCATGTCAGAGAAAGCAGACAGAAGCAGAGAACAGACACAAATTCCTATTTTGCAGTAGGAAAAAAAGATGAATAGGGATGATGTGATTTTTATTTTATGGTTCACTGAACAGAAGACCACAATCAGTGGCAGTGCCAGGAAACAAAGCATCAGTTTATACAACATGTTATGAATTCCTGGTTCTGGAAAAAGGCAAATCCCTAACACCTGAGTTAGCAGTATGGATATTTTAAGAAGTCACAGCCAAACAAGCTGTAGTTCTGGGCCTGACCAAGTGCTGCAGCTAGTTTAAATACTTCTTTCCAACTGTTTGGAATAATGAGGTTGTAACAGCTAGCATGCAGGTGTGGTGAAATTCCATTCACAGTGGAGAATTTTATTCCAAACACCTTCTGAGGTCAGGGCACTTGGAACAAGTCAAAACCCTATACGCTGAACCATGCAACTGTTTCCAGAATCACAACCAGATTTCACGCCTATCTACAAGTTTTTGGAACAGCATCACACACCTGAAATCATGAAGCCTCTAACCAAGACCAGATGCACAAGTACAGTAATTCATTCACCCAGTAAAGCTTTTAAACCAAGTCCCATTTGAACACAAGCTGAAGAACATGGACTAAGTGATGTGACCAAAGGTTTTAATGATTGCAGCAGGCAATTGCAGCAGAATTGCATCAGCTCCACCAAGGCTGGGTTTGAGATAACAAAGATTGCTATTTTTAGATCTAATACGAGAAATAAGAGATTAGGCTTAAGATATGGGAAGAATTCCTTCCAAATGCTGTTAAACTCTTTAACTGAGAAATGCAAATATGGAGAATGAAATTTGAGGAAATGTTAAGTAGCTACCTCAAGTCAAACAAAAAAAGAGTATCATTGTACAAATCTAATAGTTCTGAACTATCTAGTAGTATTACTCCTGTTTAACTTCACAAAAGCACATACAGACATTTGAAAAACAGCTGGAACATTTTCACTTTTAGCTCAAGTCAATGAGTTTGAAAGTCACATCTGTGTGTAGTCTTTCAGCAAGTCTTACAAGGTCACCAGTGTGCTTGTTGTCAATTTCCCTAGAGGAAATATTAATGATATTAAAGATACTGCAATCACACAAGTCAAGTCTCAACATTTTAAGAGACCAAGAAAATTATCCTCCTGGTAATATATGACAGAAATATAACAACCAACATCTAGGCACGAGTTCTAGTTCTTGTTCAGAATGTTCTGCTCCCACATGGACAGGAGGGTAGCTGTTCCAGTAGCATACAAGCACTGTGCTGAGCCCATTTTCCTAAAAAGATTTTGGGTCTAACTCTGTGCTTACCTTTACAACATCGTATCGGGCCACATCTGCATCTGACTTATTTTCATCCTTTAATGTTTTATCCTGTGATTTCTCTGCTCCATTTACTTCTTCCTCTTCTTCCTCCTCTTCCTCCTCATTGCTGGGGACAAAGGGGAATGCAGCCATCCCTTGGTACCATGAGAAAGTCCAATCAAGATATTTCTGCAAGGAGAGCAAAAGCATATAAAACAGAATTCTCACAAAGAAATCAAAAATTTGCAAGGATGCTTTTGATTATGGAAAGCTTTATTGATTCCTATGTAGGCTCATTAAAACAGGAACATAAAGGTTATTCTAAACACATACAAGTAGAATGCATTTCTTTTTCAGGGATGTGATTTTAACCTGACACACACACACTTGGGAAACCATGAAAAGCAATTACTATGATGTGAACTAAATTCACTACATTGGTAACAGAAATTCAGCTTAACTGAAAAAAAAAAAAAAAGAGTACAAATAAATAAACAGACCACCAAGGCTCTAGAAATTAAAATGAAATTTGGCATTTAGTGTTCTATTTCCATTTCTGGACCTGTGTGGAATTTAGGTCACAAATAACAAAAAAATATCATGCAAAAATTGGTATGATAAAATAAAGACTGCTTTGTGTATTTAGTCATGTTTTTTTTTACTTTTGTTTGAACACCCCTCAGCTTCAGCAAATAGAAAAACCCCTTTTTTTTGTTCACAGCTAATGACAGTGTCAGATGCTCTCAAGTTCTAGTGCAGTAAGTGAGCTTTCAACTCTTCAGAGAGGAGACTGCTCCCATAACAGACCTACTTCCCCAAAATGTTTTAGAACATAAAAGACATCCAAATCAAATTACTTGCACTGCTTAATAAATTTCCATTTCCTGAACTCGCAATCAGAAATAACTAACACATTAGTCAGAAGTGAAGTGGTAAACTTCAACTGCTGAATACCAAGCAAGCACAAGTTATTATCAGACATTAAGAAAAAAAAAGAGAAAAATCAGTATTAACTAAAGACGGTGAATGACGTGGTCAGAAAAGGACTGAGTTTTGGGGATTAAGCTATGAGTCCATCTGGAATACAGAGTTTGGCACTACAGTCTTCCTTCCACCAAGAGAAGGAAAGCATGAGACAAAAGGGCTGCCTGGGGAGGTGGTGGATTCACCATCCCTGGAGGTTTTCAAGATTAAACTGTATGTGGCACTTAGTGCCATGGCCTAGAAACCATGGTAGGGTTGGGCTCGATGATCTCCGAGGTCTCTTCCAACCCAGTTGATTCTATGATTCTATGAAAGTAGCTGGGCCTTCAAAGCAAACAAAAAGAAAGTTGCTTCCTTCCCAAAGCCATTGATGGATAAACAAAACCTTCAGACAGAGTAATTTTTGTGTGCTCATCTTCTGTGTTTATAATGCAGATAAATCCTATTTGTCTCACAAATCCTGGAGCGAAAGGTCAGACTTCCAGCCCTGTCCCTTCCTCAAAGACCTTTTAAAATTCAGTAACACCAGGTTCTAGGAAGGACTCTCCAAGTTCGAAAATATACTGATACAGCACTCAGAGTGCTGCTTCTGGCATCAAAAGTCAGAAATCCCTGATTATACAAGATATCACACCACAGGCTTTGATCTGAAAACCAAGAACACTGCAGAAAGTTATAAACCAGAGTAATATCAGGAGAAAGAAAAGAACATTAAGAAGCAGATTTGTTACATTAATTATCTACCATCAGTGAGCAAGACTCATTTAGCAGAACTCCATTAGGCTCATAGCTTAAAAAAGGAGCACAATGTGGAGAATGCTACCTACTCCATCTCTCTTGCCTCCCACTAGGCATAGCTCTACAGGCCTGGTAGAAGTTACAGGGGGCTTCTATCCACTCTTCTCTAACACCAGCCCCTTTGCAGTTGGACACAGGAGCAGCTCTCAAGGAAGGAACTTGTAACACAGCCCACAGCATGCTTTGCCTATAACAGACTGATCCTGTCCAACCAGGAATACATCTTTATCTTGCTGCTCAGGGCTTTCCAGTAGCTCTGAAAATCTCCACGAAGTCTCAACCTTCTAACCAATGAAAAAGCATCAAGGAGAAAAGAAACACATGAGAAGGACAATTTAGACATGTATCAGTGTTACAAAACCACATGAGGACAAGAGAAAATGGACAATGAGAGAAAAAGAAAACAGCATTATGAGGCATAATAGCCTCATAAAGCAGGAAGAATATTTAATCTGTTAATAAGCAGGAAAATTATCAAATAAGAGAAAGTATAAAATAAGAAAACAACAACATAAGGGGCCATATTAAAAAAAAAAACACCCTAAATTCTACACATAAACTAGTAGCAGCCTGATCTAGACTACAAAGATATCAAAAGAAAAAGAAACTCAGCAGCCTGTACTGAAATCTACTTATAGGACAGAGCTAATTCAAACAGGAGGAAAAAAAATACACTTGAATCTCTCAAACTGGGATAACATGCTCCATTGTCCGTCCCAAAGCACAGCAATGACGTTCTATTCACCATCAGCTAACTCACCCAGAAAGCCTTTGTTCAAGCTACTTACCATGTTTCCTCATTCTGATTCCTGTAAACAGCTCAACATGAAATCAAACCCAACCACTGAATGACTGTCTCACCTCATCATCCAGTGACACCAGCAGAGCCCGGAGAGCACCAACAGATGCTGCCATGACATTATCCACTGCATCATCCAGCGAGAAGCGCAGCAAGAAGAGAAACCCGGCATCAAGCAGCAGCCGCAGAACACTGCCCTTCAAGGAGGAAGCAAACTCTCCAGCCCTGGCCTGAAATGTATGCCACACACAGCTAGGGTTAAGGTTGTCTCACCTCAGCTGAATGCATCTCAACATTCTGCGTCTTTGTCTCTTCCCATTTCTACTGTAAAGCAGCTAAACAGTGTGCAGGTCTTCTTCCTTTATTTTATCCTACTTTCATTGTACACAGGCACATAACTATGGTTCCTTAATGCAGGAAACCTTTCTTTCTTTCTAAAGTCTGGACCTATCTTTAGACTTCACCCTGTTCTGCCCCATTGTCCTTCTCAAAACCACAGTTTCTTCTTCTCTGCCTCCACTGCCATTAGAGGGAAGGTTAGCACTTCCCTCAACAGCTACATGGAAATGTGCACAGAAGTAAAAATTCATTTTGCTTTCTGCTATTGGCACATTGCTCTATGAGTAGGTTTGATTCATTCTCACCTCCTATGGAAAATGCACATCATGAAGCTGGCTCAGACAACAGGAGTAAAAGGGTCAATGCTAAGAATAAGTTTGTCACAAAAGTAACACCAAAAAAACCCAAACTTACGTCCAAATCAACAAGAGAACTGAAGTTGCAGCACTGCTGCTGAACACCACTCTGGAACCTTCCAGAGAAATCTGAATCTCAGTTTGTTATGTCCCAACACATAACTTTTCTAACAGTAAGGATCCTCAGTGAAAAAGAATGCCCTGCTGGTGACTTTGCTCATCTCCAGCAGAAAGCAAACAACCAGTACCAGGGAATCTGGGCCCTAAGACACCAGAAACTTGAATTATGGGGGGAAATTCCATTGGAAGTCACTTACCTTTTGAACAATATGACCCAGGACCTGTAGAGACAGTGTCCTCTGTTGTGTAACTTGGCTGCGAGACAAATGAAAGAGCTCTTGGAGAGAATAACCAGCCCTCTAAATGACAAGGGGAAACAAAACAAAGAAACCAGACCAACCCTCAGCTATAGGTAAAAACAGGCCCCTTGAAATAAGATCAACTGTAAAATACTATGTAACAGAAGACAAACTGCAATGCAATGCTGCTTGCCACTTTGTGGCAATTGCAGAAGAGATTCTAATCATTGGTATGACAGGAGAAAACTGAACTTCTTAAGAAAAGAAAGTTATGTGCACCTTTTTCCAGTACCACAGAACCTTAGTAGCATTAAAGAGAAAAAGGATTAACAGAGTTTTCTGGAAGCAAAGCAGTTAATGCATGCAGACACAACTTGTCTTCAGGAGTGTGTTTCTAAAGAAAGATCACTGTAATTTCCTAAGGTGTTCTTGTCTCTAAAAAGCCTTGACACAAAAAGAATGGGTCAAATCAAACACAGAAAATAGACATGCTTGTACCCTTTCTACTATACTACACCTACCTCTGCCTCTTCTCCATGGTGATGCAAGCCTAGATGTGTTGGCAAATCAGCATCTGCAGGAATCAATTCTCCTTTTAAACTGAATCGAGCTTGCATTCCCTACAACAAAAGGGTGGAGGGAGAAAACTATTATTTCTATTGCCATCCACTCTGTTCATCACTTAAAATACCACTTTTGACACCAACTGCAGGAATATGACAGTTCAAATCCTCCCTGTGTCAGGCCTCAAATTCTATAAAAAAAAGTTTCTGCTGTCTTTCATTTCTTCTTAGCTTTCAGACCTGTTTCATCACAGATTACAGTTGATAGACTCTCACTTCCCAGCTCTCTTGAGCACTACAGACAGAACTGATCACATATCATCCCATCCTGTGGAATCTCTCAACCCAAAGGACTAGTTTTTGAAGCCTCCAAACCTATTACTGCTAAGAAGCATGATGCAGACACAAACATACAAAATAAAAGTTTCTGTTTTCAAACCTTTTTGGTTTTCTTCTGCTGGGGTGGGGGCAGATCTTTCATCCATTCCAGCTTCTCAAACTCCACATTGTCCATATTAATCCATTCCTTCCTGGGCTTCACAGGCAGATCATCATCTTTGTGTGAGGAGGAAAAAATGGAAGTCTTACCTTCTAAGACAGGAATTAAGAAAATACTATTCCCTCTTAGCCAAGCTGCTTGGCTTAAAGACTGCATCAAATATAGGATTCATGCAAAACAGAAAGCAAATGATTTTCAAACTGACTGTTGTCTGATGTGTAAACATCAGAGGTTTAAAGCTATTTTCATCTTTCATGAGAGCTAGAAGAGGAATTAAAAAGCACCGTAACGAAATTCACAGACAAGGCTAATTTAGGAGAAGTTGAATAGAAGTCAGGACACAAATAAGGCAAAATGATCAGAACTAGGGCAGAAAAAATAATATCAGACCTACTTTTGAGAAAGCATACAAATACCATCCAAGGAAGGGAGTGTTAGCGAAGATATGAAATGATTAAAAAGCATTAAGACAGAGTCCTAGCAAACTATTGGAAGCCAGTTTGATTTCAGTCTAGACACACCAAAGAGAGCACAAGCACTACTATTCGTGTTTTTGTCACATTTGCAATGCTGCTCTTCAGTATTCTACTAAAGGCTTGAGGAGATCAGCTTGGGAGGATCAAAACAGCTGAAAATTTGCAGTTCGCCAGAGAGACAGCTCAGTGGGGAAACTGGACAGTTGAACAAGAATTTCAAAGGTGCAAGTACTAAAGGAAGAAATTACTAACTTAACTTTATAAAGAGCTTTGACTAGAAGAATTTGAGAAACAAGACATTTATGCTTGACATCACAAGAGTTGCCCTAGGAAAGACATAGATCAGCATGCGGAAGAATTGCATGAGGGACCAGAGATGTAACTGCAAACTGTTCGAACACTAGGAAAGGACATACTCTGTTACGAGGATACTATCCCATACCAGAATGGGAAGAGATTAGCTAAGAAGTCTTTGCTGTCTCAAAAGAAACCACAGGTAAGGACAGTAACAGGCACTCTGAGAGCATGAAAAGCAGTAGCACCACTCCAACTGGAGCAGCCCAGAACTCACTGGCATTCCAGCTATTAATCCTAGTGCTCTGGTCTTCTCTTGCAAAGAACAAGAAGTCCCACTGAGATGTTCTCTCATCAGATCTTTTCCTACTGATAACTGGCCTGACACATAACCTTTTACTTTGCTCCAATTAGCAGATAAACCTTCAGGAAGGGCAGCCATCCTCTCTAGGATGAAGCTTCACCCTTATGATCAATGTGGTATTGAATCAGGCAAGGAACCAAGTACAGTTATCTTCCTCAGCCAGAAAACTGTTCCACAGGATTTCAGCCAAAGGCTCAGCACACATTTTAACTGAAGGGAGGGAAAAAGCATCTGAAATGTACAAAAGTGGAATGTTTGTGGGCGGTAGATGCAAAATGAGAGGAAATAAAATCAGCTGAAAAATTAAACAGATTGACATTTATAATTTAACAAAATGTTTTCTCCATTAATCATTAAATTGATAGGGTTGAGTTAATCATTCTATGAATAGGATTATGCATGTTACCACCAGCCCTTAGTATTATGATCTTGTAAACAAGGAAATACAGATATATATTTTAAGGCGTCAAAAGACTGTTACTGAGAAATCCCTCTGCAGAAACACAAGCTGACAACGTGAATGCAACATTTGCACTGAACTTTTTTAGACTTGGATTACATTAAAGGCTACCACCCAATCTCTTAATTTTCTGCTTTGCTTCCCCTTTTGTCTCAGTGCCAGAATTTAGTTTTCCATTTGGTAAGATTACAAGTTGATGAAAAAGGCTTCACCATCTTGTTTCTAATAAATAGTAGCTTTTTATCTTATTAGAGAGGCACACTTGACTTTTGAGCAATCTCACAGCTTTGTGACATCATTCTCTCCCTAGGGAAATTCAGAGTGACCATTTCTGCTGCATTGTTCATGATGAATTTACTTTTGAGCATGAACAGATGCTAAAATCCCAACATTAAGTGCTAATGTCAAATTAACATTTACATCTCTGGTTGGCCAAGATGGGCTGTGGGCATAAATTCAGGCGCTAGAAAGGCTTCCCTTGGTTTTCTAACTGTGTTCCAGCTCATCCTTTCTTTGTTATTTCAAATACCCTGGGAAAACTCCTGTATCTTCCTGTGCAGTCTTCTATAGGAAGGAAAAGATGTCAGCACACAACATTCTAAACACTGAGCTATTCCCAAGAGCATTATTATGAACTCCATCGTTACAGGCTGAACAATCCATTTCTATTGCTCCCAGGAGAGTAAAAGAATGTCACTTAACCTGCTGCTATTTGTGCAATCAATTGTTCTGGAACTAAAAAGAGCTAAAAATAGACCTTTTGATTAAGATGGAATTGTGGAAAAGCAAAACTTGAGGAGAAACAGCAATGGGACTTTTCTGTTGTGTTTTCCTCAAAAAGAGGTTAGTCAGCTTTATTTTCCCTGCACATGTACACATACACACAAACATTCACAGACTCATCCCTCTCATCAAGAAAATGGTAAATGGTTGTTATCTCTTGCAAACATCAAGATGAAATCCAGGACTGATTCACAGACTTCTTTAATCGGTCTGCACATTGTACAAAGAATGATTCATAAGAGAGGATCAGGAGATGGAGACAGCCAAAAATTGACATGAAATTGGGGGAGAACGATGCTATGAACAAAAGTGTGGGGGAAATGAGAATGGGAGCCTAACAATCACAACAGAGAAAAACAAATTGCTAAAGAAAAAAATGCAGTGAGGAAAGCAACAATAAGGGCAGAAGCTTAAGGGGAAAACACTTCCTTTCTCCGCTATGGAAATGTATGGGTTGCTCTAGTTGCTGGCAATAAATCAGCTTTCTCCACATCAGGCATACGTTGAGCATTAAAGAGTTCTGTCTTAAGAAGCAACAGCTCTGTACCACTCTTGACAAAAAGCAGAAGAATGCTCTACACCTTACTACTTCCCCCTCTAACCGCAGCACAAAGAAAAGAACTGTATCCTGTGGAAATCACTGTGTGGGACAGAAGTCAAAGAGTGGGACCATCAGAAGCAGTGTCATGCTAAGACATACATGCTCAACATGAGCAATTTCCATGAAGTGAGACTGATTGTCATCTCTGTGCTACCCTCTGAGCTAATCACTCTTACCTACCCAATACCCTGTTGTCCCCAGACAGTTCCAGTTAAAAGAAATTATTCCAGCCACAGCTGAATTTCATTACAACACTCTTTGTTCACACAACAGAATAGAAGAGTAATGATGCCTAGTTTAAACCACATTTTCTCTCAAGAGGCCACAGAACAAATTTCCATAAAAAGCAAGACCTCCCACTGAATAGCTCACCTCCATTACACAGTGTATCACCTTTCTAATCTGTGAAGCCCATCAAGAAAGAATATCTCTTTTTTCTTGATCCCAAAATACATTTTTTTAAATACCATGATAAAATTTGGAGCAGGATCATTAACAAAGTGGCACATCAGTTTAATCTGGATTGATGTAAACGCCATATCAACCTTACATTTATGTACAGAAAACTAACAACATGAACTTTATTTCTTACCTGTGATTTCTACCTTCCTATTTTCTTCCTTCCTTACAGATTCTTCCAGGCTCGACTCCTGTATGGAAAGAGATGATCTTACACCACGCTGAGCCACAGGCAGAGATTCCACAAACTCCTCCGATCTGTTCTGTTCCATTTTTAATTCCTTTTTCTGGCCTTCATTGTTACCACATTGTGATCTTAAGAAAGCAACTAAACTGGAATCTGCAAGTATTGACAAAGAGACAGACAGAGATGTGACAGAAAGTCTCAAAATACTTCATATGCCTATAGCTCCTGCTATTTGTGTTTTAGTCTTTTCCACATGTCCTCTTCTTCTGTACCAACTGTCACTTCTTTTCAAACTGCAGCTCTTCACTGCTTTTTGACCTCTCAGGCACATAAGCTGGGTGCAACTGACTGGTGAGGAGACACCAGAGAAAAAAATGACAAATGTCATTCAAGGTAAAGGAACCACAAAAAAAAATCTAGTTATTTTCCCAGCTTACAAATAAAGATATAATTCTCTCTTTCCCCCTCACTGCCACTGAACAGACACATCCAAACTAGTCCATTCATTGTGCAGAGAATTCTGGTCTGTGACTTACAAGACGAACCCAGGTCGGACAGTTTGCCTGCCCTGCATATGGACCGATCAGTGGCATCAATCTGAACACTAGGAGCATACACAGGACAGACAGCACAAAAAGAATTACCTGCTCTTTACTGAATTGCACCAGAGTCATAGTTCATAGTCTAGATATTATGCTACAAGAAGGAGACCTTGTTTCTTCTGAACTGACTCCCCATCCTGAGAGTCAATTATGGTCTGACAACATCCAGAAAACAGACATGGCCATTCTCTCTCCATTCTCTTCACAGCAGAAGAGAAACATTAGAGAGGTGTGTTTCAAAGGATAGACTATATTCCTGTGGCTCCAAGCTCATCATTTTACTTTCAGATCTGCTACAGATAGCCCACATCATTTTGCATGGAGTGCACCATCTCTAAATACTCTTCATCTAGAAGATGGTGTTGGGATGCTTATGCCAGAGGTGAACAGTAATAGACTGTGCATTGTGCCTCCGCAAGGTACAGAAATACTCCAGTGAGCAGTGTCAGAGATATATAAAGTAAAAGAACATAACACCTACATTGGCTATTTATTCTTTGGAGGACAAAGGACAAGCAATCCACAAATGCTTTGTACCTGAGAGAAGTCATGCCAAAAATTACTCCCATGTCTCTGAAATATCTATCCCACACTTGTGATTGCTGCACACTCTCCTTATGATGCAGTTTAAGCTTTCCCTGTGTCATTAAAGCATACGTATTTTTTCTGAATGCGAAGCTCACACTTTCTTACACTTCACTGTACACAGCAAGGAAAAACCTGTATTCATTATTTCATCATTTCACACAGTGACAAACAAGTCACTGATCATGTCAATCTGTGCACAGTATGTCAGAAACTAAAACTACTTCTGTCCAGAATCTCCATGAGACTGCTCAGCACGGAATTGTCTACCCATCCTCACACTTCAGACCATGGAGTATCATCTGCTTCGTAACTAAGAGGTTAATTCAGGGACTGGGCAGCCTTTAATACCCACACTCCCGAATATGGAGAAAAAGTCTCCTCAATCCACAGCTCTGTGCCTGTCCAGTTCCAAGTTTACCTGCAAGCCAGCAATTCAGCTTAGGAGTTGCTTCATCTTGCATAACTCCCTACCCGTAGATATTCTGGAAATTCCAAAATTACTCCCAGTTTCCTTAAGTCCTCAAAGACTGAAAGATCTACAGTTTTAACCCACAGGACATAAAAAACAATGCAGTGCTTCAGAAAATATTGTTTAAAATATTTAAAATACATACTATCCTTTTGAAACTCCTTAAGTATTCACTTCACTAATATTCCAAAGGACAGAGCGGTGGGAACAAGGAGCAAAGATTCCAATCAGTAACAAGTGCATAAACAGGGTATTTTTTATACATGTGCCATTGTTATAAGCAGTGAACCTAAATGAAATAGTAATTTTGGAGAGCTCAGGTCTCTGAATGAAGGATGTACCTAAAAACTTTGCCTGCAATCATTTTGCACAGTTCCTCTGCCACGTTTTCATGCTGCTTGCAATGATCATTAATATGATCTTTAAGCTGAACCTACAAGAGACTTATGCATATAAAATGCCACTCACACCTAAATTGGATGCTAGAGGAGCTGAAATTACGAGAATTTAAAAAAATCCTTGTCTGCCGCCTACATCTGTAGGTGTATCTGTACATCTGTTCTTCTTGAGCATACAAATTCATTGAAACCAACACTAACAAGTTTTGCAGTGCCTTAGATCACAGAAAGTCTTATCAAAAATACCACATGCAGTGTTTTCCTCTACCTGTCATCAGCAGCCAGTGACAAGCACTCCCAGAGTACCACTGTGGACAGGGCTCCAAACCAGGGACCAGACCCCTGTCAGAACAACTCCACCCAACAGCCAGATAATTAAAACACTTTTTCAAGAAGTCAAGACTACTTGTAAGTTTTTCTGTTTTACCAAGTATAGATTTGAACCGAAATCTCCCACATGCCCATATGTTCTCCCTGTCTGGGTACTGACAGTTCTGGCCTGAGTCTTACATATTTTGAAGGGGAAGACCAAGGGCTCTCTCTCATCTCAGCATTGCTATAAGCTTTGCTTTCTTACCTTTGTCAGAGAATTACATTTTAGGACCCGAATACATGTAACCCTGTATTTGGTGTGCAAAGCAACATAGTTGCATCATATCCCACAGCAGAGGGAGGGATGAGAAAGACTTAAGCCAAAGCATCTCCCACTGAGAAATAAGTGCTCTTTAATTTCTTCATACTTAGTTGTGACTCGTAAGCTACTGATGTGACATGGAAGCTAAATTCTCCACATAGGGTAGGACCAGGAATCCAAGCTCCCATCTTTGACCTGTGAATTTGCTAAGACTTCAGGACACCCACACATTCAGGAAACATCCACATCTCTCGAACTGACCCTGGGAAGCACATACCCAACTGAGACAGAAGCCTTGCCTGCTCCTGCAGGATCTCTTCCTCAGACATGGATCGCAGCTTCTCCAGGTTCTCTTGGTGAATAGCTTGAGCTTCCTGCTCACTCTTCTGGCTTCCAAGACCCTCTCCCGTTATGAGACGAGGATGCTGAGAGGTCAAAGAGTCACCAGCCTTATCTATAAGATCCAGCAGAGAAAGCAGTTAGTGATTTAAGTTAATAGTCTACAGCACCCTGAATAAATCTCAATTCTGTCATTACTAGGTTTGCATAATTATTCCATTTTTTCTTTTTTTACCTTGGTAGCAAATGTAAAATATGAGTAAAGAAGTTGAGTTTAGTTTCAAACAAAACTAAAATATTTGGGCTTTCATCCCATCACAACAAAACATCATTTCCACCTTGTTTCTTTAGGAGCTTGAGGAGGAATGAGGGGAGAGGAATTTTGTTTCTTTAATACAAAGCAACAGCAAGAAAAGGTAAACTGGAGAATAATTCACATTTCATGAGCTAGAGCATTCTTCCAAGTTAGTGAATACTAGATTCTTTCTCTGCCCAAGAATGCCTGAACTCACATTTGTATGTCAGCTGAACCATGACCTAGCAAATATCTGTTGGTCAAAACAGAAAATTAAAGTTACTAGGTAAACCAGCTTCTAGAGTGATCCAGGATTCATTCCCAGCACAGGCATGTTTGCTTCTAACAATGTCCTGTACTGACCTTAAAGGGTTAAACACATGTAAGTTCCAGCAGGGGGGCATTTTTCCTACCCTGAACAAAATCAAGTCCCCTTTATCACCTGATCCAAATCCATTTTAAATGCTCATGTCCTTTAACAATAGCAGCAAGGTTATCTGCTCCTTTGGTCAGAGTGAGACCCTCAGCTGCCCTGTAACCCACTACACAAGGACCTGACTTAATGGCTTTACTCCTTATGTTTTATTCATATGCTCCATATAGTGACTTGGAACTTATGACCTTAAACCAGCCAAACCTGAAAGCATTCAAATCCCTGTTTAAACAGAAGCAATGACACTCTTCATAACATCAGTAAGATTGGATATCATTTCCACAGCAGTTGCTTTGCATATTGAGCAGAAAGAGATAAGAAGACAAGTGACCTGGTAAAAGCTTCAGTAAGCTTCCCACCATCAGCAACCACACTGAGAGTTACTAGACACAAACATGCTGTTACTATAAGAAATTGAGCTGCCTCTCTTCTTCTCTTGCTTCTGATCCTGCCTCAAGAGTCTTGTGAGGAGGCCAAGCCATATTCTAATCCCTCTATTGTGCTACTACATTTTAGAAGGGTTCATCTTCAAGAGGATCACAGCTATAGGGCTGCTGTACTTCACTTTGAGAATTCTCTGACAGAACTATACATGCCCAATTGTAACAGGATATACAGTAAGCACAGTTTAGTGACCTGGATGGTGGATATGTGCACACACAGCACAGTGCAACTGGGGGTCCTCTTACCTATGCTCTGATGGGGGTCAAGGCAGACAGAAACCTTAGCCAAATGGTGATAGCCTTTAAATGATATGTGGCCTCTATTTCAGTGTGAAAAATAGGGCGTCAGAGTAAAACTCAGACACATGGTGGTCCTAAGCAAATTGGACTGCCCAAGTCACACACACACAAGCACAGAAAAAGGCTGGAGATATTGAACTGGCCTCATCATTCCTTGTCATATTGCTGTCAAACAAATAACTGCTGGAGGTGGCACTGACTCATCAGCACTGCCTCACAGCATTCCTTATGGAGCTAAGCCACTTGGTGAAGGAAGACTGAGCTTTCAAGCAGAACCCACATCACAGTGGTCTCAACCGCCTTTAACAAACACCCTCTTCCTAAAACTGTGGAACTCAACAATGAAACAAAACATAACATAGAACAAATGAAATGGGAAAGGACAAGAACCTTGAAAAATGATTCTGTTTGGCCCTGTGTGAAACAAAAAGGAAATCAGTGAAGCTAATCCAATTTTTTAGAATGTTACTTTGCATCTCAGACCATTTAGAATCCTCATCACAACACAGACATTCCAAGTGACCTTGAGATTCCTAAACTGAGGACAATGGTGCGACCCTAACTTAAAAACAAGGCGTGCTGATGTTATGGTTGCTAAGACTGTGTAAATACGGTAGAGGCTGGAAAAGCAGAACCTTCTCCACTTACCACTCCTGACGCTGAGGAAAGGTGCCTCTCCCGCGGACCCCTCAGGCTGCAAGGCATCTGGAGCAGCGGTTACTTGCACGCACTCGGCAGCAGAGGGAGCTGATGTCACCTTTTCAACAGTTCTTTTCGCTGCCATCTTCTGTGCGAAAATGCTTTTCCTGCCAGATCCCACCTTCACCTGCAAACAGGGGAGCCATCTACCACTTTCCACTCCAGACCCCCCCGCACAACCTGCCACTATCAAATGTACAGATCTGATCCTAAAGACACCCTCAGATCAGACCTTGGGACATGACACGGAGAAACCACTGGTAGACACCTGCCCTTTTCTATGTGTGTGTTGTTCTTGTTTTAATGCAGCTTAAAGCTAGATCCGAGAGACAAAAACATGAATGTTTTTGGTACCTAGAGAAGGAAGATAATTAATTATAAGTGAATTCAAGCAAGGCAAGTACACCTAAAATATCACCAAACACCTCAGTTCCAGCATCCCTGCTGTTTGAAAGTTCTGCATGGCTGAATACTTTGGATTTCTGAGGATAAATGCGGCTGTACTTCACCGTGCTCACCACACACTTGGAACAGGCTTCTTATAAGATGATTAGAGAGCAGCAGGGTGAAGAGATTTACACAGTAAGAAGTGGGCAAGTGGTGCTAAAATAATCCTGACTAAATGACTGTGCTGCTTGCCTAGTTGATAGAAGGGCATGGCTCTGAACAGCCTTGCACAGGATGCACGGGAAATAAAAAGCAAACTAAGCAAAAAAATCTCTTGCATGTCCCCAGTCCAAAGAAGAAACTTAGAAGGCAGTCTGAACATCTGGTAGCTGCTTTGTGCACTCCTGCATCATGTAAACAGAACTGGTAGTTCTAAAAGTATTACTCTTGCCTTTCAAAATAGCTATCCTTCAAAATAAGCTACCTCTTCAAAGCAACCGCAGCTATCAATCACATAACAATTCCCAGCATCTGACTCCCACTCAGCTAGCAGCTCTTGCTACTACAGCAACGACTGATAGCAGCCATGGCTCCCAGTTTTACAGCCTCAGAAAAAAAAAAATTATGCTAAAATCCAAAAAGCTGCAAAAGATACTCTGAGCAACCATACTCTGATGTCATGCCAGGAGAAATCAGGTGCAACTCCAGTAAGAACAAACTTAATCAAACCTGGTGGACAAATTAACAGAGACTGTTCCTCAGAGAAAAACAAGCAGAACACAATCAGGTGTATTACAGCAGCGCAGATCTGATCCACCTTACTGAAGTTAGCTGAAGAGGGCTACCTCTTCCTAAACCAAAAGGATTCCAATGTTATTTAACTGCAGGGTATGACTACCTGAAGGCAGCTTGGTAAAAGAACTCCCTCCTACAACTAGGGTGGCAATGTCAGAGAAATACTGAGCTAGCTCACCATCTCCAGCACACCAAGTCAATTATTTTGAGCCCTACCAAGCCCCACTAAGCATTAGGCATTACTGTGGAGAAATCTGAATTGTTAATGAGGTAGCATAACAGCTGCTCCCAATCTTACCTCACTTCTTATCTCAGAGCGGTGAAATGACCTTGGAAATGGGTCTCCTGTAGGCACTGGCATGGTCACTGCTACTGCACTTGTGTCTCGTTCCTGAACAAAAAAATAAATAAAAAAACCCACACCCTGTAGAAATCATTGCAACAGCCAGACAAGTTCATATCATCTGCCTAAGAGAGGACTCGAAAGCTCTCAGCTCTGCAGCTCACATTGTCATCAGGCTCAGAATACCCTGTGCTTATTTAGAACTAAAGTGAGGATATTTTCCAAAAGGGTGGGCTGACAAACTCCACACATCACTCAAAGGAAAACCTGGACCGGTGAAGAGCAATCAGAACACCCCCCTTAGAGCCCAGAAACTCAACCAAATCCACACTACAGCACATGCCTGCATGCAAGCAGCATGACCTGCAGGCAGTCTGGGCTGGAAAGCAGATTCAAATCCATATTGAACTGACAGCAAAAAAGTGCCCATTTCTTTCAGGGTGCTCCAGAACACTGGTCTACAGTGCTGCTTCATTACACTGTAGAAATAAAACACAGCAACAGAGCCCTTCATCCCTGCTTAGTTCACAGCATTAAAAAAAACCCCACTAGATCGTCACACAAAAAAACACATACAATAATTTTGCTCAAGACTGCTGTAATGTGTTGATCGTGACTCTCCAATCTTTCCTCTGGATCCTCATCCTCAAAGTGGACATGAGCACTTTTGATCTTGGACTTTTTTGGAGGAGCTGGAGTTAAAACTGGGAGAACATCAGGAAAATCTGGGGAAGCAATAAGTAAAAAAAAAAACCAGTCACGTTACTTCTATGTAATCACTGTGCATTAGGTATCAGATCACGGCTCCCTAATAGCACCTATTCTTGCTCTAATGAGAAATAAAGATGAGGAAGCAGTAAGACGATTAAGAGTCCTCTGACTTGCACTGGGTAGTGGAGAGAATCACGCTCAAGAATTTTATTATTTATGTATCAGCACAAGGTCTTTTCAAAGAGTTCCATAAGCAGGAAAGGATACTGAGGTCTGACTGCAAGTATCAAGGAAAGAAGCAAGGCTGTACAAAAACAAATATTGTCCTTGCAGGCTGTGTTCAGGCACAGAGAAGTACATTTCCACTGCCATCTCTAACAGTAAGGGATTAGATATCATGAGCAACTCAAGGCCCTTTTTCCACCATCTATAAACAGACCATACCTCCTCTACCTGGAAACAAGCACTGCAAGATTTAAACTGTTGCTTTTAAGAAAGCACCTTGACCTTCTGAGACTATTAAACACATGACAAAAGTGGTAGTTACTACCAATAGCGTAAACAAAAGTGGAGAGAGGAGGCTTATCAAGCCAGATCTGCTGGCTGAAAGCTGGAGCTGTTAGCAGAGCTAAACCTCAAGACACTGTGAACAGGGTCTGGATAAATGGCAAAATAAACAGTGAGTGTCCAATCAGTACAAATCACAGAAAACACTTCTTGCTGGCAAGTACCACAGACAGCTGATAAATGTAGACAAAGGCAACAGGTGGTTCTCCTAGATGCTAGTAACACTGGACAAGTACATTTTCCAACAAGGCTAAGAACAAACAATATTGCAAGGAGGACACAAATACAGGGCATTGTGGGTTGAGAGGGAGATGAAAGGTAAGCAGTGAGGAACACCAAAAGGGACAGAGAATCTTAGTAATTCAAAGAAGCCCACAAGAGAATTTACCATCCATCATGACTACATCCTTGCTGTCCCGCAGTGGAGGTCTCTCAGCATCTGTGCTCCCTTTCTCCCCCTTCCTCTTGTCTGCTTTCTTCACAATCTTCACTGCAGGTGAAGCTCTGGCTGCCAGGAACTCGTTTTGAAAGTGCAGCAGGTCTGCCTCGGATTCCCCAGGCTTTGGTCTTGACAGCATCCTGCCTTCTTGCTCTTGAAGCCCAGACACACTGTTCACATGGAACCTACTGAAACATGGAAAACTGGTTACAGAACCAGATTTCCTGGGGATAGAATGGGGACAGCATGGAAAAACTATTCATTTTCATCCCACCCTTATGTTCCTGTGCATACTACCGACACCCTACTTCAGGATCATCCCAAGACTCAACTAGTTGAACCAGATTCGCACACAAACTGTTTACCTTGTTATGCAATGTTGAACAACATGCTGCTAGACAAGTCAACACCTGGTCTACCAGCCAGCTGGAAGCACAGTGGAATCTGTCCAGCAAAAAGCCAGGCAAAAAGTGCATCACTACCAGAATGCCAACACCATGGCCTTGGATTTGCAAAGCCAGAGCAGCACCTGGTTCATGATAACAGATTTGACTTACTCCATTATCGACACTGATCAAGAACATCAGAGACAGAGTATCACACAAACCTCCCCCTCCAACATACCATCTTCTCTGGATCCTAGCATTAGCATCTCTGTCAGAATGCAAGAGCCTGTCCACACAGATTTGGACAAGGCACTTGCTGATTCTATTTGCTCTCCTTCTCACTCAAAATCCCCAAGTGAAAAGTGTTTTCTTCCTGATGTGCTCCTCCTGTTTTAGTTCTCTCTCACTTTTTCACTGTCCTCTTATTAGCAGAAGTCATGCTATTTCCAAGCATTTTCATTCACTACCCAGGTCAGTTTTGGGTTGAAAGACAATGGTGGGATTTAATAGACTTATCTCTGGGCACATGAAACTTACCAGGAAGGCAACTAACTATTCCACCTCCCATCTACTGGGCAGGAAAATATAAGTGAGTCTTACCCCCCACCTTTTATTCCCACAGCCTGGGACCACCAAGCCATTTCTTATAGGCAGCAAGTAAAGTGTTTTCAAACACATTTCGCACTAATTGCATCACTGATCAGCACTAATGCTGCAGACTTGACACCCTCCCACATTTAGTATCTTGAAATAGTTTATATATATTTGATCTCTTCCACTTTTAAAAGCCCATTAGGACTCAGTGATGACTCACTGTGAAGTTGGAAAGTGGACACAGATTTTTAAAACCACAAGTATCTGCCATATGGAAAGGCTGCACGCATGAGAAAATGCAAAGCTTGGAAGGAAACCTCTGTCTTATTCTCAGACCAAAACAAAACTTGATAGTTGTGCAGGCATAGCCACTGCCCTGAAGCCAATGTTTAGCCTTATACTATTATCATACTTGATTGTAAAATATGTGGGGAGATACCTTGTGGGAAGGATGCGAACAGACAAAATAATTACTTCATGCAGTATTTATGCCCTACTCTTGGAATATTTATACTATTTTCAGAGATCTCATTACTGACCAAGGTTGGTTAAGTGCAATGCTGCTGGTTCTAAGAGAACAAAGAGGTACAGGAAATTTTACATTTAGTTATTGGTTTTAATCAAGGCATAAGTATAAAACCACCAACCATGTGAGACTCAATGAAATTCCATTTCCTGACCCTCATTTTGTGCAAAATCTGGACTAAAACCATTCAGACTAAAATCATATGCATTTTGCGTACCAAAACAAAGAGGAGTTTTTCAGTGGTTTCAAGGGACTCTCCATTCACTTCAGTACTTGATGACTGAGGAACCAAAGCTCTTCACCCCATGTCAAAGTAATAAATCAGTTGTCTGTTTCCAGATTATCTCAAAACACTGACTTATTGAAACCTGCCAGCTCAAGAGTCCCAGAAAAACAACTTCCATTTACACCAAGTGTGCATATGACACGAGCAGCAGCAAGGGGAACTTTCATGAACCCTCTCAACAATAAAACACTTCCCCAGCACACAGGGAAAATGCCCAATTTCTCCACCAACACTGTCAAGGACATCTGTGTAACGCAGCCCCTACCAAAGGCTACTTCAAGGTAGGAAGGGAAGGGGGCACCCTGCTACAGTGCCTTGCTACTGTCAGAGAAGGACTTAACACAAAACCACCTGGGATCTCACCGCAACTCTGACTGATGCTGAGAATGCAGAGACACTCCCTTTCAGCTCACCTCCCTTGCAAATGCACAGCAGAAACTGCAACTTCTGCAGACAGCTCCTTTTTGTGTGTGTGTATTCTCCCAGCATAAGCACACGCCTACTTGCTGTTTAGTTATGGACCCTTGTGTCCCAACAGGACCTCCCACAGCTGTATTTCAGTTGCTGGGTCCCTCTTTGAAATGTGTAAGTAGCACCACATGCTAGTGGTGCTACTTACACTAGAAGCCAAGTGTTTTGTTCCTGTTGTCACAGGCTTCAGAGCCCAAAAGAGGAGGATGCCAGGATTAACAGACACAACCCACCCAGTTATAAGCAAAGCGTGCTGCTAATCTTCCTGCGATAAGCCTCCTCCACACAGAGATGTACATAAACTTGTCCAAGTCTCTGCCTATTAAAAAAGTTAATCAAAAATACCTTGAAAATCTTGAAGGCCTTGAAACTGGCTCTGTTTCTTTGGGAAACTGTAATGCACAAGAAGTCAACTTAAGCAGCCACTGTCTAAGAGGTCAGATGTTGTTCCAGGAACCCTTGCCTCAAACTCATTTCTTAAATACACATGGATCTTGCAGACAGACTGACTGCAGTGAAAACAGTTTGCTGCTCCTATTTCCATGTCTCCCGGAAACCTTCTAAGCACATTAGCAACACTCCCCTGGCCATCAGAAGGAGGAATTCTTACCCACCAGACTTTTCCAACCCAGCTGATTCTACGATTCAGAGAAAACATGCGGGAAAAATAACCAACAACGGATGATCAGCACTAACCTCAGCATCCAACATGCTGTTTACCTCCAATCCTGCACGTGGCTACTTAAAAGCTCACCATACACAGCCTCTTTGCCTAGAGGGACCACCATTCAGACAACATGTGCAACCCACCAAGGATATTTTCTGGGAACACATAAGGGATCCAAAATGCTATCAAAGGGCCATAAGCATCTTTACACTCCACAACAAAGTGACTGTTATGTGGGCACACTATCATCTTATTTCATACAATCCAATCCTGTTAGGCTTTTTAATTTCTCCTGGCTCATCTGCATTTAGAATGCATTTTTCTCCCGCAGCAGCAGAGCCTGACAGTCCAAGGGAGACACATATCATAACAACCTCTATGAATTAGACACAGTCAAAGGAGAAAAGATAGCAAGTATATGTAGAGGCAAAGAATAATCTCCAACCGCTACTGTCATTTCTGAACCCTGAGGATGTTTTTTTCAGCCATCCTCAAGTCTACAGGTTTGTTTTCTTTTGATAAAGCCATCAGATTTGGGTGAGAGGATAATACCAAGTCCTGCAGTCACGATCAGTGCCTCAAATTAACCTGTTTCTTCAGACCTTGTTGATTGAGGTAAGAAGCAGAGTCACATCTCAGTCTCTCCCAGGCAGGAAAGGCACTCAAGATTAGCAGTCAATGAAAGTGTCACTTGGGACTACTGGCTCCTTTGCAAAATGTGATGTCAAGCTCTGATCAGTCACGACAACACTTTCTGCACACAATATTGTAATGACCAACAGTCTGAAACACCTATGCTTCACGACACAGGCTGCTATAAGGCAGGCAGACTACTGTGAAGCCACTCCTTCCAGAAGGAAAATCCCAGTCAAACGAATCAACAACTGCAGGAATTCCTTCTCAAAGAGGCTCCACATCTCACGCTGATCATGCAAGACTCAGCGACTATGACTCTGCCTGTCGAGCACGTACCGTGTGTACGCACCCAGCACGCTGCCCCCACAAACGCCGGTGTCTGCAATGAAGAGGCATCAGGAGAGACAAAACAAAATGAAAACCAACAAGCTGCTGTTAACAACCTAAAGCGCTGATGCGTCCCAGCGCTCCCATCGCGCTCACAGCCCTCACGGGGTTTCCCACGCGACTCTGAACCGAACTCTTAAACACGCACACGAACACTCGGCCTGGCGAGGCCGCTCGGGCGGGGACCCGCTCGGAGCG